CTGTACGCGATAAATAGGTCGCGGGTGACGTCATTAGAGTAGAATTCCACTAGTCGTGATCCCAGCCCTGATTCTGTTGGAAGGGAGTGTCTGCACAACAATGGTTTTATAATAAACTAATTTCATATTAATTTTTTGTTCTTTGCAAGACACTCACTTTTTGACAGAATTCAGGGATTTAATATTCCAAACATTGGTGAACCTGATACTGCCTTATTCTTTTCTGGGTACCTACTGGACATAAATATCACTATTTGGAGTCTGGATCAGCTCGAGTAACGTCACCCCAGCAATCTATCCTCTTTCCTGGATACAGAAAACAACACGAAGAGCTCCAGTTCGCGAAAGTGAAACCCCAACACCCATTGAAGAGCTCCGGATTGAAGCTGCCAACTGTCATGTTTTAAAGAAAGTGGCATTGTCACTATATTGTTAAATAAAAGTTAAATATCAAATAAAATTATTGTTTGTTGGATTTTGAGTGGTTTCATTTGCACATAAAGGGACTACACGTTATCTTAATTTTTTGAATTCCACGACCCTAAGGTCTCTTATCTTCAAGTTCAAATAACGAGTATTATTTGTAACAAGTTTTAAATTTGTCTTCACGGTAGACGTCGAAACGATGTACCGACAGATTTGAATCTACCCTGAGCACACTCATTTCCAAAACATTTTATGGAGAAATAGCCCTTTGGATGAGCTTCAAAATATTGAATTATTGACAGTTACTTATGGAACTAATTGTGCACACTTTACTTGGCCACAATAACTTTGAATGAGTTAGCAGTTTCATGTAAAGATAAATATCCTTTAGCTTCTGAAGCTATTCTTACTCAATGCTATGTTGATGATGCTCTATGCGGTCAGGATTCTATTGATTATACATCTCACTGTACATTATTCCCATATGACAGGAAAGGCTTAATAAGTGATAAGCCTTTTGGGATTATCGCGCTTGGTGGCATTTATGGCAAATTCTATTATAGAATTTTTTTTAAATTTTGAAGTATTAAAGTTTAGTTCGTTGTATAATCGAATGTAATACCACAAGAGGTTTCAGGATTACCGGATAATACTTTTACATGTCACGAAACGCGTTACGCAGCTGGTAACGCGTTGAGTGACAGGTAAAAGTATTAGGTAATCCTGAAACATAGAGTGGTATTCAAAAGGTTATACAACGAACTAAACTTTAATTCTTTATTAATTAAAAATTTCATGAATCAAAAATTTAAATTTTTTGTCAAAAAATGTCAAAACACCAGTTACCGTGCAAAAGGATTATCACTTATTAAGCCTCTCGTGTCATATGGGAAGGATTATCACTTATTAATCCTCTCGTGTCATATGGGAATAATGTACAGTGAGTTGTATAACCTTTTGAATACCACTCGATGTTTCAGGATTACCTAATACTTTTACCTGACACTCAACGCGTTACCAGCAACACCACTCCTCCTTCGGAGTCGTGGTGTTGCTGCGTAACGCGTTTCGTGACAGGTAAAAGTATTATCCGGTAATCCTGAAACCTCTTGTGGCATTACATTCGATAATCTCTACAAGCTGTATGATCAGCTAATGAATTTGTGTGACGTAGCTAATCTCAAATTACACAAATGGTGTTCTAATTCTAATGGTTTTTTGGAAAAAGTCGAGGAAAAAGGGAAGAACTTTCAGTCTGTCTCAAAATAACTATGACTTAAAGATAGATGGAATATCTAGCAAAGTTTTAGGAATATGTAGTATGGAAGCCTGATTCAGACATTTTTTCAATTTGAGTTTCCTATTTGACAACTCTCTCATCTACTACTAAAAGATTTCACAAATGTTCGACCCCCTTGGTTTCATTAGTCCCTAGGTACTTGCTAACCTCTCCCAAAATTCACCTCTATTGAGCTTCATGGTTTCTCAGACGCAAGTCGCAAAGCATACGGCACTTGTGTATATCCGAGAGCGCAATATCCTGATGGTTCTATGAACTTGATTGTATCTAAAAGTAGATGAGTAGCCCCTATTCAAGAAATCACTATCGCAAGATTGGAATTGTGTGGGGCACTTTTGCTTTCTAACTTGGTAAATAGAGTCATTGGTATATTTAATACTAGGCTGCAGTTTGGTGAAATATATCTGACTGATTCTGAAATTGTTCTGGATTGGTTAAGTTCTCACCCTTCAAGATATTGTGTTTTCATTGCGAATAGAATTTTCCAAATCCAATCCCTTACTGGTACTCATAAATGGTTGCATATCTCATCGAAGGAAAATCCTGCTGACTATCTCTCTCGAGGGCTGTTATCACAGGATCTCATTAATTCATCACTGTGGTGGCATGGTCTTGCATTTTGTTCTAACCCAACAGTTGATTTTAAATAATTTAATTTTACTCCGAAAATGACCAACGAAGAAGAAAGAAGAGTCAACACTGTAATGCTGGTCACAGAAGACAATAACTGAGAAATGCTTTTTAAAAGATTTTCTAAGTTCTTAAGACTTCAACGGGCTGTGGCATTTATGTTTCGGTTTGTCAATAATGCAAGAGGTCATTCCAACAAATTATTAGGTTCTCTTTCTATCGCAGAATTAAAAAATGCTGAAAATTTCATTTTTGAGATTATTTAATCTAAATACTTTCCCAACGAAATCTCTGAGTTGAAATTGAATAAAGTAATATCCAACAAGCAACTTTTAAAACTCAACCCTTTCTTAGACTTCGATGGCCTTATTAAAGTTGGTGTTAGACTTTCTCAAGCCCAAATTCCATATGAACAGAAATATTCTATATTATTGCCATCTCACAATGATGTCCTCAAACTCCTATTTGAAAAGGAACATATTATATTGGGACATGCTGGTCCTCAAACAGTACTCTCTGACATTCGACTAAGGTATTGACCTCTTAATGGTTTGAAAAAAATCAAACATATCATATTAAAGTGTTTCCGTTGTGGAAAATTTGAAATCCACGCTTTCCAGCAAATGATGTCAGACCTTCCAAAGGATAGAGTAATTCCTGCTAAACCATTTTCCAAAACAGGTATAGATTTTACTGGCCCTATTTTTGTCAAATCTTCTTCTTTAAGAAGAGCTCGCGTTGAAAAAGCATATATTTCAGTGTTTGTATGCATGGTGACAAAAGCTGTTCACCTTAAGCTGGTTTCCAATTTGTCAACTGCTGCTTTCTTGGCTTGTTTGAAAAGATTTAGTTCTAGGCGTGGGAACCCATCTGCAATCTTCACTGACAATGGTACTAACTTTTTAGGGGCTTGCAACCAGATTATGGAACTATATTCCTTTTTTAAAGAAAAGGACTACCAAAACCACATTGAAAATTTTCTCGGTGAAAAAGAAACACAATGGAAATTTATTCCCCCTCACTCTCCCCATTGGGGCGGCTTATGGGAAGCCGTAGTCAAGAGTACCAAATATCACCTAAAAAGATTAGTTGCAGATCAAAATTTCACCTTTGAGAAGATTACTACTATATTGTCCCAAGTGGAAGCCATTCTCAACTCGAGACCATTACTACCCATTTCATCAGACCCCTCTGATCTCACCTGCCTAACACCTGGCCATTTTCTTATAGGCACCTCTCTATCTGCCTACCCTGAAAAAGACCTCTCTTTAATTCCTGAGAATCGACTGAAGCGTTGGGAACGATGTACTAAAGTCCAACAATCCTTCTGGTCTAGATGGACTAGAGATTATTTAAATTTGCTACAAAATCGACCCAAGTTGTTAACTCCTATGAAAGATCTTGCTGTTAATGATGTTGTCTTGTTGAAGGAGGAAAATACGAAACCACTAGATTGGCCTCTTGTCAGAGTCATAGAGATTTTGCCCAGTAAAGACGGACACATTAGATTGGTCAGGATGAAAACCAAAAGTTCGATACTAACCAGAAATATCACTAAACTTTGTCTTCTTCCAAATTCTAACAATGTTTAATTCACATTATTTTGTTTTGAAACTTGTAGATTCAAAGTATGATCTAAAACTACGAAAAGCAATTTCGCCAATTTCAATATTATTTGATTTATTTATCTATTTTGTTATGGTTATTGCAAAAACTCCTTGGCCCTACTGGCAACTAGGAATACAGAGGGCGCGACTCTCTCAGCTGTGACTGGGGGTCTGTCAAAGGCATCGTTGGTATTGATCGGTTTTTTGCGATAACCAAGGACAGAGTCTCTAAAGTACCTACACACAGACAAATTTGTTAGCACGTTGTTAGTTTTTTTTCTGTGCCTTGTTAAAAGTTGGAATTATTTCGATTATTCCACTCATGTGTTAGAAATTTCATAAGACAAGTGACGATTTTCAGAATTACAGCGAAAATTCTTTTTTCCATTTGTTTAACTAGAGAGAATTACAGCGAAAATTCTCCCATGTTATTGTATACATGGTTGTCATGCTAATTTTTGATACAAACAAACGGTTCCTGATAGCAACCATTTATTTGTATTGATTGTTAAGATGTTCAAATCGTTTAATACATATTTATTTCCATACTTTTTGCATTCTCATACGTGAAATAATCCTCTAAATACCACTTGAGCTTTAAAATGAACCAGATAATTTTTCACTCATGCGTGTTTTCTCTGCAAATTTCACTCGTCCTACGGACTCGTGAAATTATAGAAAACACGGAATCGTGAAAAATTATCGGTAATTTTGAAGCTCTCGTGGTATTATCCCCGATAATTCTCCCCATGATTTTGTTATCATAGTTTTCTGTTGTGCCTTTGTTAAAGGATAATCAGAACCCTCTTCCCAGAGTTTGTTTAAAGTCAATGTGTTAATAAGAACTGTATAATAGTAGTGTTTAAGTGTTTGTTCAAAAAATTCACCCACTGGATTTTAGTGTTTTGTCCCAGAAGGAGCACTGGAAGGCAAAGATATTCAATATACCTTTAATAATCACTAAACAACAGGTTGTATTATTTTGTCACTAACCTAAAAATAAATAATTGTTCAAAAGAATAATTAAATGGGTGTAGAAGCATCAAGGACAACTTTAACTTCTTCTACATCACCCTTGAAGAGCCAATTAAAGAAACAAGTTATCAATCCCAGAACAGGGCCAGAACAGATTCCAGTATCAAGTAGTGAAATAAGTTTGCCCAAGGATAAACTGAGAAAGACACATAATGAAGTGGAAGAAATTGAGGAAAAAAGAAAGGAATTCTCAATTCTCTTATATAATGATTTCTAATTAATGTCCATTACTCTTTGGAAGGTTGCTGGTGCGTTCTTTAATCTGAAGGGCATTCTTTTGACTGGACAACTTTCTGGCAGAATCATGGTAGGGAGTTCAATGACCAACCATGTAGAAGAAGGGCCACAGAACTGCTACAAATGAGTAGGAACGACTAAAGGTTGAGACAAACATGACCGGGCCGTCGGACGAGACACGCCCTTGCTTCAGCCGGGGTCTCTAGAGGACCACAACCAACCGATTTTCGTTGGTGTTTTGGTCGTTTTATTTGTAGTTGGTAGTCTATAATAAAAATATTCACACAAAAATCGTCGTCTGTCACCTGAGAAATTGAACAAAACAAATTCCGTACGGCGTGCTGACGTCTAAATGACGTTGCCCGGACACGATCCGGTCAAGTATGGTCCGATACATATTTCAACTTTACGTACTCCGGATGACTGCCGATACTCGTTCGAGGCTTGGTCCTGACACGGCCCGGTTAAGTGTGTCTAGACCTTAAGGACTATAACGAATTTTATGATAGGTCAAACTCACGAACTCGAGACATCCAGACACATCCTGGTAAACTGCGAGGCACTGGATCGCAGAAGACACGGTATTTTCGGGTAAACAAACGTAGTCCCGGAAACAATAAGAGGAATTCGCACTCCCAAACGAAAAGAAAAACTTCCATTAAACAATCTTTCTCTTGATGCTTTTTTAAACATAAATTTGTTGTTGGATATTAAGAGTCCATAGATAGAAAAAGTTAACTAGGTACGCCAATGATAACAAGCACCTGCTAAATCACTCCAGTCTCTAAAGAGTACCAGCAAAGACTTATTACTTTGTAGTTTTCCTTTCATTCCCATAAACAAACTGAAAAAAACACACCGCCGGTGTCTCCCAGCAGCATCGCGGTTTTAAGCTTCTCTCTCTCCCGCAATTCAACAAGTGAGTTTGGAGAAGATTAATGGACCTCCCTAAAAGTTTTCACTGTTCCTAAAGGGCCAAACTTTGGTCTCGGCCCCTCGAATAAGCTCCGGCAGTCTTAAAAGTAATGTCTTTCCGCGAAATAAAACCTTTTTTGCCCGGCGGTAGAACTAATGGACCGGAAAGGAAACGTTTTGTAATAAAACAGAAAGGAAAACGCAAACAGATGCCTTTTTGTATTAATGTTTGGCGTGAGCTTGTTTGGATTTCTATTAGTAAAATTTCATGTCAAATATAGTATAACGACATACGACATAATGCCTGGATGATGGTCTGGCAGAGGAGCGGAATCAAAATGAAACATTATTCGAGTCATGATTTTGCAAATTCAGGACCAGCAACTGATGTAAAGATTATGTTAACTTGAAAGTCGACTCTAAGACTATACCGTTAATGACCGATAAATGATAATACGATATTCATTATAGATAGATAATTAAAACCCATTTCGTTTTCTTTCTAAATAGAAAGATCGCAAATTAACACTTCTTCTTGGGCGTCTCTATTTCTCGAGCAATCTAGATGGGTTTGAAAGGGATTCGAACTCGCCTCTTTTTCTGAGACTTTAATCTATAGAAACATTCGAGTAATCAAGGAGGAGAGACAAAGAGCCTCGTCCTTCTTTCGGTTTTCAACTGAATTTTTCGACTGGCAAAAGGTTACTTTTTTATTCATAGGATTTGTGTAACTCACGATGGAAAATTCTTATTTAAGTTGAAGTCAAATTTAAGTGAATCGTTCCCCTTGTTGTAGCTAATAACTTCAAACGACGCAATTTTCAAGTCAATTAACTCCAAAGGCACCCCTTTCTTATTTGACAGCCTCCGTAAAAAAAAAGTATGGTAAATAGGTGTACGGGAAAACGAATTTTCTTCGATTTGAGCCAGATTTCTCGGTAGACTCGTGCGAGGAATAGCTAATGCTCTGCCGACGGCCAAAAAGACGACCCGAAAAGAAGCACGAAATCAGCGCGATTTCGTCGATCGGGCGCAGTCATCCGGCGAAGGACGCGTCGCGACTCAGTGACGTGTGAAATCAGATAAGGTGATACAAATATGGGAAATGTCAGGGAGACGTTGGAAAATTCGGCAGGGACATTTATGAGGCCGTTCAACTACGACGATCGATAATAATTTTTGTATCTTGATAATGTCGCATAGAATTCGAGATAAAAGGGTGCTATAACTACGGTATTGAATAACAAATGTTTTTTTTTGTCGCCATAGTTATAAAAAAAAGCTTTATCTCTCCTCAGACGCAAGATAGAGTTTTAGGAAAAATAACTCCGAGAAATCTGAGACGACATCGAAAGCAAAACTCGAGAAGGGTGTCGATGGAATGTCAATATTTAACACTCGAGAAAATGCGATTTGATTTAACCATTGCCTTCGAGAATATGGTTTGAGTTTGCACCGACCGGGAATGAAACCGATACTAGAAGGAACTTCGTTATTTCATAGAACTAACAATTCATTTTCTTTAGAATTGTTTTCGATGCTTTAGGTTCTTAGAAGGGACTTGAAATATTTTAGTGTCTAGTTTTTGTATATTTCTAGAACCAACATATAACATAGCTGAAACGATTTCGTTCCGCATCAGCTCCATTATTTCAGTACTCATCCCATTATCCAGGTTGATGTTACTTATACACATCTGTTTTTTAAGGGCATGGATAATTTTGCTCCAATATTAATAAACACATTTTTTGTTATCTATGTCCAAATTTTATATGTATATTGTCATCATATTCTTATCTAAAGTTTTCATTTCACACTGCTATTCCTTCTTCTAATCGCAAAATTATTTTAATCGTAGTTCAGCTTAAGTAATTTATATAATATAAAGAGACTCCCGGTGCGAGGTTAAATACTTTAAGCCCGTGCCGTTAAATTTAATTCAGCAACTAAAGTAAATTTGTTTTTGCCGCAAACGCGGAAGGAATTTTCGAACACATAGAGCGGAAATTGTGCGAATTATTTGGAAAACGATTTGTTGCGGACTGATGAAGGATAGGAGCTTCAAAATATAATTTAGTTTGGTAAAAGCGATTTAGAATCGAATTAATCTTCTTGATTTGTTTAATGGCAACTATCAGATGAGGCAAAATATTTATTGATTGAAGTCAGTTTCTTTAATGGATTGAAAACTTTAAAGATTAATGATGTTGAGGGCGTATAGTAGTAACTCAAGAATTTAATAAATGATAGAAGTGAGTTGAGAATGTACATTAAGAATGTGGACAGTTAACAATTTTAATAACAAATTTTAATACATTCAAATGTCCATTTCAGCTTTGGACTAGCCGTTTCCCGATCCAGATTGACCCGTCCAGCCAATCGGGTCGGTTCATTTTGCGGGTCCTGGGGAGTTCTACGCTGGCAGCGACCCGCATAACTCAATGCTGCCGCTCTAATTGATTAATTTTAACCGGAGACAAGGGTCCTTTGTGTGACGTCACGCGTGCACCGAATAATTTATGGGTTAGTATGCTGATCGGTTAAACTTGGTTGTTTGGTGCACGGGAAATTCGGGACTTTGGGAAACTGTCCGCGTTAAATTTGGGCTTTCGCAAATCAAGCGAATCGGATTCAGTTTGGAGTTTGAAGTGATGTGCATTCTGGAGTACGAATCAGGGTAATCTACAAAACAAAGATTGGCTCGAATAGACAAAGCCTCTTTTGAGCTAACTTGTTAAAATATTCCAAAATAATTGTGCCTCTTCTTGCATAACGAAATACTTTTTAGAAAAATTGGATGTACCCTGACCTTTCTCTTTTACTTTTACTGGTGCTAATGTCAACAGGGTTGTCCAGAGAGCCACTGCTAGCCTTTGGGCCTATTGAAGATCTCTCGGACGCACCTGGGACTTTACAACCTCACATAGTCCAATGACTTTACACAGCAGTGATAAGGCCAATGATCACGTACGGCAACTTAGTTTGGTGGAATGCGCTTTGCAAATCCACCTACAGGGTAAAACTCCACATGCTCTAACGAACTACCTGCATGGCTAAATTGGAGTCGCCGCGCGCTGGTTTCTACCAATACTCGACAACAAGCCCCCGCCTCAGAGTGGAGGATACCAGCAAAGACAATAAAACCGCGGTACCCAGGCTATAGCAGGCAGACGGACAACGCCATCTCATTTTTTCAGGTGCATCAGCAGCAGCAGAGCGATCATCACCAGGTACCGTTTCTACCGAAGCAACCTGGTGCAGGTGGGCCCTTTACCACCATAATCCAAAGTGTGGCGCCCGAGATAACTGTTGCACTGTAAGTTGAAAAATCCCTAAAACATCACGATGTACAGGGAGACCTAAAATAGCGCTACAAGGTTCTTTAGCGAAGTAGATGAAACTACCAAGCATGTCTGCGAATGTGACGCCCTCGTCAGTCGCAGACTACGATACCTTGGGTACAGGTACGCAAACCCCATGAATCTGTCTGGTATACAGATGGATCAAAAACGCACATTAGCACAGGTGTAGGAATCTATAACGAGAACACTGGGAAGACGTACAGCCTGAACCTGAGCTCAATGGATACCATCATGCAGGCTTAAATAGTTGCGATAACAACATGCGCGGAGATCATCCTAAGAGAGACAGTTTCTAATCGGATGGTTAGATGGCAAAGACAGCGACATTTCAAGACACAGTATCTGAAACCAAAGGAAATCGCGATAGCGAATATCAGGGACCAGGGGGACACAATGAGCTACGATCTCTAGTGCAGGTGTTCGCATATTCCATGGTCCTTATTCTTGAAACAGAGGAGCAGCGTTCCCAGGAGAATGAGTGTTCCATCTTTCTTATTGATATGCAACTGATAATAAAGGTAACAAAGACGGAACACTTGTTCTCCTGGGAACGCTGCTCCCCCGTTTCAAGAATAAGGACTCAGGAGAGAATAGAGAATAGAATAGAGAACCTACTAGGAAACAAATTGAAGCGAAAACCATGAAAAATCAATACCAGAAGCTTCTGAAATTCGGAGAGACATTTAAAACGCAAATGATGATT